TGCGACGTATGAACCGGGCCTTAGTGCACAAAAAAATAGAACGCAGTCTCTTTTGTACATTGTACGACTTAAGACAAAAGGGTTGTGTGATAGCTATTCGACTTTGTTTGACAACTAACAGAGATTGCGTTACTGTCGTTAGACGCAAGAATCGAACTGACACATAAAGGATATATGTTACATGGCAGTCCTTGTCCATCAGAGAGCATGGACTCTGTCTGCGGTGGGAAAGACGCGCTTGCTGCGATCACGTGCAATAACGTGTTAGTCACGTGCAACTCACGTGTTCCTTGGTTGGGGCATCGTTCGCAGAGTGGTCCCCAGCCCGCTGGCTTCTTGTCAGAGCAACAGCACTCGTGCTTAGTGGTGTTCGTGGACGACTGATCAACACAGTAATTATTTACCACTCGTTGATAACAATATCCGGAGTTTTTCCCTGGAAATAAACGCTAAATATAAATTCTTTCGTAAGTATTAAAATTAGACTTACGAACCTCTTTTTAAAAAAGATAATTTAAACGAAGTTTTACTCTCAAACGAGGTTACAAGTATTTTAAATTGGCCGCCTTTATGAAAAGGGTCAAGGGTCTATGGGATAACCTTAGGTAAAGTCTTCATATGAGCCAAGTGGCCCATCAGGCCGGAGCTTACCCTGGTTTCTCTAGCATGAAGCGACTAGGAGTATTTCTACTGAGCCCCCCTGGATGGGATGCTAGTCCATCGCAGGGTTACGCCCCAGCATTAAGTTCGCCGGTACCCATTTATACACCTGGGTGGAGAGAGGCACCGTGAGTGTAAAGTGTCTTGCCCAAGAACACAATGCAATGTTCCTGGCCAGGGCTCGAACCCAGACCGCTTAATCCGGAGTCGAGCCCACTAACCATGAGGCCACCGCCCTCCCACAAAAATCTTAAGCAATCTTAATACAGTTTGTAATACGTGATGCGTTCTGATCCATTCAAAGACTGAATATCTTACTTATACAGAAGCTCCTGTCCTGATTCAGAATATATCCTTCCTGGCAAATACATCTAAAACTGCGGACTGTATTCTCACATCGACCGTTTGCACAAATGCCGGGGATCTCGGTGCATTCATCTACATCTGAAGAAAAAAGAGCACAAGAGAATCCTTGGCATCAACCGTCGAAAAACAAGGGAACTAAACACTCAGATGACGATAAAAATAGGGGGTTAAAAGGAGTGCAAGATTGATGGAGGCACGGCAGGGTAAGGCATGGTCCTTTCTTTTAAGTTAAAGGTCAACCTGGAATGGACTATCCCTAGGTATCCTAGGATTTAGCTTAAAGTACAATCAGGATCACGTTGACGATGTCTCTGGCAAGTTTAGGGTCCCATATTTTTATGAGTTTGCAACGGATTCTTATGAAACTTCACATGCTTACTAAATTACATACATACGGCCAGTAGTAATGTGATACGCCAATCGAAACTCAAGATGACTGTTTTATAATTTAAACGGAGTCATGTCACAATCTTTTAAGCCATTAATTTTCTGATCTGAAATTTGAAGGTAACGTCAAAATGATTGTTTTCTAAGGTAGAAAAATACTTAAAAAGTAATGGAAAAACCAAAAAGAAAAAAGAACGAACAGGCAAACGCATAGTTGGTTTCGAGTTTTACCAAGAAACATTTCCTTTAATAAAAATATATAAACTTACCAATGCATTTCTGTGAGTCCGCGTCAAGCTTTTTTCCGGCGGGACATTCGCAGCGGAAACTCCCAATAGAGTTAATACATCGCCCGCCCGCACAGATCTTTGGGATGGCTTTGCATTCATCAATGTCTAATGGACATATGAAACAATTGCAGTTATTGTATTTAGCGTTTATTAACTGTCACTGCAAGGAAGAATACGTACCTTGGCATGCTTTGCTGCGAAAATTTGGAAGAAATCCTCGGTCACAGGGCTCTGAAAGTAACGTAAGAAGAAAATCTGATAAATATAAAGCTAAGTGAACATTGCCAAATTAACTCCTTTTTCCAGCTACTGGTGGATGTTGGGGTTAAATGGCTAGTGTATGACTCAAAAACCACGAGATGTTTGCAGTTTAAGAAGTATTAGGGCATTGGGGTATAAGGATATTTGGGTATACAGGTATTACCGTATTAGGGTATTTGGGTATTAGGTTATTAGGGTTTTAAGATTTTAGAGTATAAGGGTATTAGGGTATTAGGGTGTAAGGGTATTAGGGTATTAGGAGATTAGGGTATTAGGGTATTAGGGTATTTGGGTTTTAGGTTATTAGGATATTAGGGTATTAGAGTATTAAGGTATTAAGGTGTTAGTTTATTACAGTATTAGGCTGTTAAGGACTTAGGGTGTTAGGGTCTGAAAGTATTGGGGTATTAGGGTGTCAAGGTATTAGGTTGTAAGGGTGTTAGGGTATTAGAGTATTAGGGTATTAGGGTATTAGAGTATAAGGGTATTAGGGTATTAGGGTACTAGGGTATTAGGGTATTAGAATAAGGTTATTAGGGTATTACGGTATAAGGGTATTAGGACATTAGGATATTAGGGTATAAGGGTAAAGACCCTTTTCATAAATGGCTGCCAATTATAAATTCTTTTGTAGGTATTAAAATTAGCCTTACTAAGTACCTCGTGTTTAAGTTGATAAGTATGAAGAACTTTTACTCCCAAAAGAGGTTATAGATGCTAATTTAAATGCATACAAAAGAATTATAAATTGGCAGCCATATATGAAAAGGGTCTATTGGGGTATTTGAGTATTATGTTATCAGGTTATAAGTGTAGTAGGGTCTTAAGGTATTAGAGCATTTGGGTATTAGCCTACTAGGTTATTATGGTATAAGGGTATTAAGGTATTAGGGGATTTGGGTATTACTTTATTAGGGTATTAGGGTATTACAGTATAAGGGTATTGGGGTATAACAGTGAAATTGTATTTGGGTATTAGGATATTAGAGTATAAGGGTATTAGGGTATTAGGGTTTAAGGGTATTAGGGTATTAGGGTATAAGAGTATTAGGGTATTAGGGTATTAGGGTATAACGGTATTAGGGTATTAGGGTATTAGGGTATAGGAGGATAAGGGTATTAGGGTATGAGGGTATTAAGGCATTAGGGTATTAGGGTATTAGGGAAAAGGGTATTAGGGTATAAGAGTATTAAGGTATTAGGGTATTAGCATATAGGGGTATTAGGGTATAAAGGTTTTAGGGTATTAAGGTATAAGGGTATTAGGGTGTAAGGGTACAAGGATATTTGGGTATTAGGGTATTAGGGTATTAGGGTATTAGGGTATTAGGGTACAAGGATATTTGGCTATTAGGGTACAAGGATATATGGGTATTAGGGTATTAGGGTATTAGGGTATTAAGGTATAAGGATATTAGGGTATAGGGGTATAAGGGTATTAGGGTATAGGGGTATAAGGGTATTAGGGTATAAGGATATTAGGGTATTAGGGTATTAGGGTATTAGGGTATTAGGGTATTAGGGTATTAGGGTATTAGGGTATAAGGGTATCAGGGTATTAGGGTATTAGGGTATTAGGGTATTAGGGTGTTAGGGTATTAGGGTATTAGGGTATCAGGGTATCAGGGTATTAGTGTATCAGGGTATCAGGGTATTAGTGTATCAGGGTATCAGGGTATNCTACGGTTCGGCCTACCGTCCACACTAATCCGTCACGAAAACGGAGCTTTTCGAAAACGCTCCTCAAACCGGCGGCATTTGAAAACGCCGGCTTTTCGTTTTCGTGTGGACGAAAAACAATTTGAAAACGAATGTTTTCGAAAACGTTGACCTCACGATAATCACGTGATTTCCCTGCCTGAGTTTCTTTTGAAACACAAATCCAAAACGACCGGTGATTGTCGCGTTTTTACATTCCTCCAGCGTAATGTGGACGGAAAACATTTGATCCGTTTTCGAAGTGAAACCAGCGTTTTCAATTTCCTCCAGCACAGTGTGGACAGAGCCTAAGTGAGTTGACTTACTAGGCTTGGCAGGACAACGCTCGCATGGATTCCCCCAAGCTTGTCCAATAGTTGCACAGCACGTGAGCCTCGTGCAGACCACACCCTGTAACTGGTTATGACACATTCGATTCCTTACTTTGGTGTAACATGGACCAACTCTGTAATCTTCAACAGAAACAAATCTAACGTTAGTACAGACTGTGAGAGACTTGCGGGTTAATGGCTTTTGTTCTGGTTTTAAACCTGGTCTGGGTCATCGTGTTGTGTTTTACCACGTGGAATTTTCACGAGTAACGCTTGCAAAATGGAAGAATCGCAGCCCCTCTAAACATCGCTCTGACGATTTTCGCGACAAATTTACCTTACGTTTTCAAATTCTTTTCGCTGAGGTCTTGTCGCAAAACAGATGCTTCGCGGTCTGCAGTTACATGTTATCGATAAAGCTTCGTGCTAAACCTAAGTGGAACACTTCCAAAATTACGACAACGCACACAATTTTTTACCTTGCTGACAGCGGTCTCCGGTGAACCCATAAAGACATGCGCACTTGTCTGGTCCAACACAGCGACCACCGTTGAGACACTGCTCCTGGCAAATGGCTTTAGAAATAAAGAGAAATCTTAAGAAACATAACTTTTCTACTGCTCAGTTCAAGGATATGAAACGCTTTTACTATAATATCGTGATTATTTCCTGCGACACTTGCAAGTTGCCAAAATAGAAAGGAAGTTCTGTGATGAACTAGAATCCCATCCAGACTAGCAAAAACATTTTTTCTTTGTCGATACATGACGGAGTAGCCTTTGTAAATCCATCCCCGCCCTCCCCTCCAAACGTCTACCCGTTTCATTTTGGGGGGCGGGGGGGAGGGAGGGAGGTGCGGATGTACCCAGGTTACGATACGAAAACTGGGATATACTCTAGTCGGACGGTCACTTTCAAGCAGAGAGGTCATACACAATATCGCTGCCTTTTGGACTTATCATTTACCATGCATGAAGAAACAGCTTCACAACCACAATTTCCCAGTTTATCGTCATAGTAAATGGTTTGAGCCCAGGAGCATCAGTAGTTCGTAAGTCATTTTCACTTGACTCTGAAGAAGACTTCCGCTCAGGTTGTCGAAACATCAGTCACCAACAACAGCTCTTTTCAGATCTACCCTCACCCGGACGATCACGCTATACGAACTCAAACTGGTTTATCATCAACATCAGAAGAATGCACATCGACATCAATATTAACTTACGTGACTCGCAAAACTTTCCCGTGAATCCATTCTTACAGGTGCAGTTATCTTTGTTGCAAGTTCCACCATTGAAGCACAACACGCTACATTGATCCCCTAAATACAGACACTTGTATTAAACGTAAAAACTAAAAAAAAAAATCACAAACCCAGTTGCTAAAAGCGTAATTACGACATAGTACTACATGGGCTGTGACTACTGAAAAAGCAAAAGGGACTCGAATTTTGTTTTCTTTGTGTTATTTTATCTTAGTACAAGTAGGCTATTTTCACGATAGCTGTCTTTGTAGTTTTACAATAAATACGTCCTTCAAGTGATTTCTACCGAAGCAAATAACTTTAATCGGGCAACTAAACCATTATCTTTGTACCCTGATAAACCTTTCCCCGGGCAATATATTTGTTCAGAGTCCTAGAACATTATAAAACGATTAAATATGAGTCGTTTTGACTTTTCTGTAAACAAAACAATTGCCAAAGTCGACTGGCTTTTGAGGCGACCCCAAAACTTGTCCCTTTTTAGACCGCCTGACTATTTTGCATCATGGCAGCTATGGTGAAGATATCGCTTTCTCTGTTGGTTTCACACACCTTGCGCCTGAACCCCGCTGCATGACGGACTATACGCGCCATTCGGACATCGACAGACGCCAGGTCTAAAACACTCTCCGGTCCCGCAGCCGTAGCGGCACATAGCTGAATAAAACAAACACAGGATAATTAGCATTGCACTTTCAAAAGATGGTAAAGAAACTCTTATTGAAGCCTTCGACAGGAAAAGTCGTTAAAACGCCTTCTTGTTGCTAACAAA